TTATGACACTTTCAAAGTCTTGGACAATTTTTCTCTTGTGACCATAAATATTCTCCAAGACTAATTTTGACCACAGAAAAGACTGGGCGTATAAGTTGCCTGGCTGTTTACATATCTGCAGCCACAGTGTTAGGTGCACATTGAGGCTTCCTTGAGTTTGCTTTGAAAACCAAGAGCATGAATTTTCAACAGGGTGAGACTCCACAACAGGTAAAATTGGTTCTTGCACAGTGGGGTGGGGTGGGGATGTGTGTGTGTAAAGGAAATTTTAGTTTTTGATGTACAAAGCACAGAAATGGACAATTAGATATATAATATCTTTGTGGTATTACATTTTCATGGTGGGGAGTGATTAGGAAAAACATGCTTACGGAGGTTCCCTAGGGGACAATTAAAAAAAAAAAAGAGGTTGAGAAAGCTAGGACCATCAATAGTGAGCAGCGAAGGCCACACGGTTCTCTTCTGTCCAGGGGTTTTCATGAGGAGTCTCTCACTGGAGTTACAAGCCTCTGAAAAGTGAAAGTGAAAGTTGCTCTCTTGTTCCCTCCAACTCTTTGCGACCCAATGAACTGTAGCCTGCCAGGCTTCTCTGTCCATGGAATTCTCCAGGCCAGAATACTGGAGTGGGTAGCCATTCCCTTCTCCAGGGGATCTTCCCCACCCAGGAATTGAACCGGGTCTACCTACATTGCAGGTAGATTCTTTACCAGCTGAGCTATAAGCCTCTATTGAGTTCAGTTCAGTTCACTCAGTCGTGTCCAGCTCTTTGTGACCCCATGGACTGCAGCACACCAGGCCTCCCTGGCCATCACCAACTCCTAGAGTTTACCCAGACTCATCTCCATCGAGTCGGTGATGCCATCCAACCGTCTCATCCTCTGTCGTCCCCTTCTCCTCCCACCTTCCCTGGTGGCTCAGATGGTAAAGTCTCTGCCTGCAACACGGGAGAGCCCGGTTTCATTCCTGGGTCAGGAAGCGCCTCTGGAGAAGGAAACGGCAACCCACTCCAGTATTCTTGCCCGCAAAATTCCCTGGACAGAGGAGCCTGGCAGGCTAAAGTCCATGGGGTCACAAAAGAATAGGACACGGCTGAGGGACTGAAAATCAGCATTAGTTTCTGTACCAAGACTCTGTACTGGATAAAAGTATACATTTCGCTGACTTCCTCTCCTCATGAGGTCCCCAAATTTGCTACAGCCCTGACTGTTGAGAAGTGACCTCTTTACCGGCCGAGGCAGGGAGCCATCTTCCCAGAGGGCTTTGCAGGTGAGGCTCCGTGGAGAGAGGAGTCCACCTTCTTTCTTTCCTGGGGGTGTATCATCCCTGGTTGAATGAGTGTCATTGTCAAATCTGACTCTCCAGGAGTGGTCAGCTTGCAAAAGCTATTTGTCCAATCCTATCCTCATTCATGGAGAAGGAAATGGCAACCCGCTCCAGTACTCTTGCCTAGAAAATCCCCTGGAAGGAGGAGCCTGGTGCAGGCTACTGTCCATGGGGTCGCAAAGAGTCGGACACGACTGAGCGACTCTTCTTCTATCCTCATTCAGGTCACTTAAAATGGTGACCAGAGCTATGCAGGAAGCAAAATAGAGCATGTTGTCTTAAACTCTGCAAGAGGGTCAGAGCCAAGTCTGTGGAGGACCCTGTATGCTGACCATCTGACCTCCGCCTTGCTGAGTAGTGAGGACAGATGCAGGCCCCGGGGGCAGGGCCGGCTGGATGAGTCTGATGGGAGAGGGGAGGAGGGTGCGAGACAGGCTGGAGCTGCAGGCAGAGCTGGGGCGGTTTGAGGATGGTGGGTTCATCACCAGCTGGAGTGTTAATCATATGGCATCCAATTTCAATGTATGGATTCCCCTGTCACACAATCCCTTGACACCAGCTGCGGGCGGGGTGGGTGGAGGGTCCTACAATTGAACTCAATTCTGACACTGTCTGCCTGGAGATAGTGTCAGATTCCATGGGTTAAGGGCTTAGTCCCATTAAGGTGGCACTAGTGGGAAAGAACCTGCCTGCCAATGCAGGAGTCATAAGAGACACAGGTTCGATCCCTGGGTTGGGAAGATCCCCTGGAGGAGGGCACGGCAACCCACCCCAGTATGCTTGCCTGGAGAATGCCATGGACAGAGGGGCCTGGCAGGCTATATAGTCTATAGCGTCACAAAATGTCGGACATGACTGAAGTGACCCAGCACACACGCGTGCACTGGTAAGACGACCTCAGCCTGGCCCTTGCTTCAGACGCCAGTGGGAAGTTTGGCCAATTGGCTATAGAATGGAGGTTCCCATGACCCTCTCCTCGAGTTTAATCAATTTGCTAGAGGGGCTCACAAAATCCAGAGAAACCTTTTACTTACTAGATGACCAGTTCATTCTAACTCAGGACCAGCCAGATGGAAGTGATGCATAGGGTAAGGATATGGGAAAGGGTGTGAAGTTTCCATGCCCTCTCTGGGCCTCCCATTCCCCCTAAATCTCCATGTGTTCAGCAGCCTGAAGCTCTCTGAACCCTGTCCTTTGGATTTTTATGGGGGCTTCATTATCTAGGCATAGTTGATTAAATCACTAGCCATTGGCGATTGATTCAACTTCCAGCCCCACTCTCCTCCTTGGAGTCGAGTGGGTGGGACTGAAAGTTCCAGTCCTCTCATCAGAACATGGGTTCTCCTGCCAAACATTCCCTATCCTTCAAGTGAAAGAGTCGCTCAGTCTTGTCTGCCTCTTTGCAACCACATGGACTACACAGGCCACGGAATTCTCCAGGCCAGAATACTGGAGTGGGTAGCCATTCGCTTCTCCAGGGGATCTTCCCCCAGCCCAGGGATCGAGCCCAGCTCTCCCACACCCACACGGCAGGCAGATTCATTACCTGTTGAGCCACCAGGGAAGCCCTCCCCATCCTTAGGTGTGGACCAAAAATCGTCTCATTAATACAGCAACAAAAGATATCTTTGTCACTCTCATTACTTAGGACATTCCAAGGATTTCAGGTTTCTGCACTTGGGTGAAGACCAAACACACGTCTTATTACAAATCACAGTCTCCTAGGGATTAGGGGGAGGGCCAGCAGGAGGGGGACTGCGGTGGATCTGCGGGCTCCCAGGCCCCACTGCCTGTCCCGCACCTCCCCACCCACCATACTTGTTCCCCAGATTTCCACTCAGCGCAAAGTCAACATCTACAACATCCTCCAGGAGGTCACCCAGCAGGAGGAGGAGCGCTCCGTCCAGAGGCTGGTGGCCATCGCCTCCAGGGAGATGACCGGCATGCTGGAGGCCGCGGGGGTCCTGCCCTGCCCGCCTGCCACCGCCCCAGGGGCTGGGCTCTGGGGGGCCACTGGGATGCCCGAGGCCTCCGTCCGCTAAGCTCATGGGGACAACAGTAGGCTGAGGGGGCCCAGGAGGGCCCAGCGGAGCCGGAGCAGGCGAGGAGCAGGCACTGCTGGGGCGGCCACGTGTCCTCCTCCCGTGCCCTGCAGATGGAGGGCTACGTGAGGGCAGAGGTGGCCAGCGACACCCTGGTGGCCCTGTCCCGAAACCACTTCAGCTTGGTCATGTACGAGCTGCAGCACCATCTCAAACCCCTCAACCTCACGGAAGAATCTGTCATCGTCACCCTGGCCAAGCTGGCCAACGGCACAGTAGGGCTCGAGGGGACTGGGCCCCAGCGTCTGCCCGCCGGGCCACCCCTCCGCCTCTGCCCTGGTGCCCGCGCCCGCCCGCTCCCGTGTCTCCCGCTTCCGGCCTTCCTCCGGCCTTCCTCCGTCTCACTTCCGGTGTCTCTCCGGCCCTCTCGGCTGCTGAGATCCCCTCCCTGTGCCCCATCCTGCGTCTTTTCTCCTGCCGGCCCTTCTCTCGCACGCCTGTCTTTCCTGCTCCCTCTCTGGCCCCGTCTCTCCCTCGCTCCCTCCCTCCTTCCCTTCTGAGCCCGCTCCGCGCTCCGTGCTCCACGCAGGCCTTGCGGCGGGCAGTGGCCGCGGGTCAGGAGCCCCTGGGAACCGGTACACGAGAAAACGGAGTGTCCCCATGGAGAGGGCGCGCGGCTGTCCCCTGCGTCCCCGTCGCCTCACCCCCGGTCTCTGGTCATCAGGCTAGAGAGCTTATGAGGCAACAAGGGGGTGGCGGCCTGGGAGGGCGGCCCACGCCCCGCCTCCTCACTCTGCTGCCTGCGGGCCCAGGAAGAGCAGGGCTCTTCCCTCTGTTCCTCCGTCCCTCCGCTCCTCCTCCCCTCTCCTGGTCTCCTGGTCTCCCCGTCTCCCCTCTTCTCTGTTTCCCCCTCCCCTCTCCTCTTCTCTCCCCTCCCTGCCTTCCCCGGCTTCCCCTCCCCCCTCCTTTCCCTCCCCTCCCCTCTCCTTCCTCTCCCCTCCCCCCTCCTTCCCCTCCCCCGCCCCCTCCTTCCCCTCCCCTCCCCCCCTCCTTCCCCTCCCCTCCTTCCCCTCCCCCGCCCCCTCCCCTCCCCCTGCCCCCTCCCTCTTCCCCCCTCCCCGATTCCTTTCCTCCCTCCTCCCTTCCCCCCCGTCTCCCCTCCCCTCCCCTGTCTCCTCTCCTGTCATCCCATCTCCCCTTCCCTCATCTCCCCTCCACTCATCTCCTTCTCTGTCCTGGGAGACAGAGGGGAGATGAGAGGAAATGGAAATGAGGAAAGGAGACAGGGGGAGAGGGGAGGGGTGGGAGAGGGAAGGGAAGGGGAGAGGAGAGGAGAAGGAGGAGGGGAAGGGTGGAGACGGGGGAGAGGGATGGAGACTGCGGGAGGTCTCCCCTCCCCTCCCCCATCTCCTTTCCCCTCCCCCGTCTCCCCTCCCCTCCCCTCTTCCCTCTCCCTCCCATCTCCACCCACCCCCGTCTCTGCTCCCCTCTCCTCTCCCCCTGTCTCCCTTTCCATCTCCCCAGGGGGCAGGATCGATGGGGAGAGAGGAGGGGAGATGGGGGGGAGGGGAGACGGCGGGGAGGGCAGACAGGAGGCGGGGGACGGGGAGGGGATACGGGGAACCAGAAGGGGAGATGGGGAGAGAGTTGGAGACAGGGGGCTGTGAAGTCTCCTCTCTCCTCCCACCCTTTTCCATCCCCTCCCCCATCTCCCCCCTCCCCCCCCAGGTCTTCCTCCCCTATCCCGTCTTCCCTCCCCTCCCCTGTCTCCCCTCCCCCTGTCTCCTCTCCCCTCCCCATCTCCCCTGCCCTCTCCCCCAGTCTCCTTTTCACTCTCCGCAGAGGGGATGGGAGACAGGGGAGAGGTGGGGAGACATGGGGAGGGGAGATGGGGAGGGGAGGGGAGACGGGGAGCCAGGAGGGGAGATGGGAAGAGAGTTGGAGACAGGGGGCGGTGAGGTCTCCTCTCCACTCCCACCCGTTTCCATCCCCTCCCCCATCTCCCCTCTCACCCCCAGGTCTTCCTCCCCTATCTCTGTCTCCCCTCCCCTCTTCCCCCACCCGTCTCCCCTCCCCTCCCCTGTCTGCCCTCCCCTTGTCTCCTCTCCCCTCCCCATCTCCCCTGCCCTCTCCCCCAGTCTCCTTTTCACTCTCCGCAGAGGGGATGGGAGACAGGGGAGAGGTGGGGAGACATGGGGAGGGGACAAGGGAGGGGAGAGGGGAGGGGAGAGGGGAGGGGAGATGGGGAGGGGAGGGGAGACGGGGAGCCAGGAGGGGAGATGGGAAGAGAGTTGGAGACAGGGGGCGGTGAGGTCTCCTCTCCACTCCCACCCGTTTCCATCCCCTCCCCCATCTCCCCTCTCACCCCCAGGTCTTCCTCCCCTATCTCTGTCTCCCCTCCCCTCTTCCCCCACCCGTCTCCCCTCCCCTCCCCCTGTCTCCTCTCCCCTCCCCATCTCCCCTGCCCTCTCCCTCAGTCTCCTTTTCACTCTCCGCAGAGGGGATGGGAGACAGGGGAGAGGTGGGGAGACATGGGGAGGGGAGATGGGGAGAGGAGGGGAGGGGAGACAAGGGGAAGGGGAGGGGAGATGGGGGACGGGAGATGGGGGAATGGTGGGAGACCGGTCTCCCCACCCCTCCCCCTCCCCCCATCTCCCCTTCCCTCCTCTCCTGTTCCCTCATCTCCTTCCGAGAGTCCTGGTAGACACACGGGAGAGGAGATGGGGGTGGGGATAGGGGAGGTGAGAGGAGGTGGGGAGAGGGGAGGTGGGGAGAGGGGAGGGGAGCTGGGAAGAGGGCAGGGGAGGCGGGGAGGGAGAGAAGGGTAGACTTCTCTCCGTCTCCCCTTCTTTCCCCTCCCTCTTCTCCCCTCCCCCGCCCCCTCCCCTCCCCCCTTCCCCCTTCCCCTTTCTCTCCTCCTCTCCTACCCTTCCTCCTTCCCCCCATCGCTCCTCTCCTCCTCCCCTTCTCCCCTCCCCCTTGCCCCCTCCCATACCACTTTCCCCTTCCCCCTCCCCCCTTTCCCCCTCCCCTACGATGATCCCCCCTTACCCCTCCCATTCCCCCCCTTATCCCTCCCCCTTCTCCCGTCCCCCTTCCCCCTCCCCTTCCCCTTCTACCCTCCCCTTCCCCCTTCCCCCCTCCAATCCCCTTCCCCTTCTCCCCTCCCCCTTCTCCCCTCCCCTGCACCCCCGCATCACCCCCTCATCTCCCCTCCCCTTCACCTGCTCCCAGCTCACACTTCTTACCTCCCCGGCCTCCTACCGTCTCCTGTGGCCCAGCCCATGCAAAGGGGTGCCCTGGCCCTGTTCTGGGCACTGGAGGTGTGGGCGATGGTGTTGCCATCTCTGATGCCCCTCATCCTCTGACTCCCTGAGACCTCTGCCCACACCTCGCAGTGTTTGAGTTCATGCCACACATGGGCATCACCCTGGCCACCGTGTTCACCATGCTGAGGCTCGCCAATGAAGTCAAGATGCGCCAGGTGACCTGTGGTGGTGAGTGTCCCGCCTGGGCCTGCAGGTCTGGTCTGATCAGGGTGCTGACAGGAGGAGGTGGGTGAACAGGTAGAGACAAAAGGGGCAGTGGGGATCCCAGGAGAGGGAGACCAGGGAGATGGTCCCAGCTCGGGCTTGACTTGGGTCATTTATATCTGATCCCCTTGCCCCAGGTTTTGATTATGTCATGATTTTGTGGGCCCAGGTCCCCAATACCTGAGAAAAGTAGGACAGAACGTGTTGGCCACTCTTTGCTTTGGAGTCCCCAGGATCTGAGTTAGAAAGTCTTTGAGGTCTCACCCTTGACCTTGCAACATGAACCTCAAGGCTGGGGGCCCAGTCACACCTGTGTGCTGCACCCCTCGGGGAGTCTTTCACCCTCAGACAGGGAGGGGCTTCATGCAGGACCAAACTTAAGGAGCTGAGAGGGGGTTTGGAAAGGCAGATGGCGAGGGCTGCAGGAGACTTTTCTAGCAGCATCTCTGGCCATCTCAGTAACCCGCTGGTTATGGAAGTGTGAGGGCTCCTCCTGAGAAGCCGCCCCGGAAGGCTCTGTTCTGCGACCTGGCCCTCGGGGCTCACTGCACGTGCCCCGGGGCAGCCATGGAGACCTTCTGCGAGACGGTGCAGTTTTACCTGAGGCACCTGGAGGACAGCGTGTACCCCGTGATGACTGAGGACCAGTTTGTGCTGAAGCTGTTCCCCGTGTATCGCTACTTCGTGACGGTGTGGCTGCGGAACAACACCCCGGAGGTGAGCGGGCCCTCCCGGGTGGGGGTGGGAGCCCGTGGTCCTCGGGTCATCGCTCTCCAGCCTGTGCAGCGGCGGGGCTGAGACACCACTGGGTCCAAGGAGGGGGAGACCTGATCGGCAGAGCCAGGGGGGCCCTGCAGGTGTCTTGATGAAGGCCCCTGGAGTTGCTGGACCAGGGTCCCTGTTCCACGTGTGTTGTGGGAGCCATTTCCACGCCACCTCCGGGTCATAGGACCGTTTTACAAATGAGGAAACAGAGACACGGAGAGGTTGAGCACCTGTCCAAGGTGTCCTGAGTGAGAGTCAGGACTTGGGGGACAGGCTTGGCAGCTGGGGGGCCCGCGGGAGGCCTGGACCCTACTCCAAAGTCCCCTCAGTCACCTGCCTTGATTCCGAGGCTGGGGCTGATGTCACAGGACCTTCCTGGTGGTCCTGGCCGAGGGGTCTAGAGACCAGGCTCCTGTGCTAGGTGAAGCTGGGGGTCATCAAGTCCCTGAAGCCCATGCTGAACCTCCTCCTGCCCAGCGATGCCCTGCGGGACCAGGCGTACGACTCCATCCCTCTGCTGCTGGCGGGGTACCAGGGCAGCCTGGAGGCGCTCTTTATCACGTGGGTGACGGGCCTGGGCTGGAGGTTCAGGGTCTTTAGGGCTCCTGAGTGTCCCGTGGGGTGTTCTCACGGGTGGGAGATGTAGCCACGCGACCTGGCACTTGTCCGATTTCCAAGAAATATATGCTGCCGTGACACATGTGTTAGCCACTCAGTCATGTCCGACTCTTTGCGACCCCGTGGACTGTATCCCGCCAGGATTCTCGGTCCGCGTGATTTCCCAGGCAAGAATACTGGAGTGGGTTGCCTGTTCCTTCTGCAGGGGATCGTCCTGGCCCAGAAATCAAAGCCGGGTCTCCCGTGTTGCACACAGATTCTTCACTGTCTGAGCCCCCAGGGAAGCCAGGCAGAAAGGATGATGCCTCCGAGGGCTCTGAGGCCCACAGTGAGGCCACAGCGCTCATAGCGCTTTCCTAAGGCTGTCGCAACAAAGAGCCAGGAGGCAGGTGGCTTAAACCACAGAGATGTGTCTGTCGTGGTTCTGGAGGCCGGCAGTCTGAAATCAAGGTGTCGGCAGGCTAAGCTCCTTCTGTAGGCTCTAGGGGAGAACCTTGCCTCTTCCAGCTTCTGGTGGCCCAGGCACTGCGTCATTCCAGCACCCCCTCCGTGGTCACATGGCCATCTCTGTGTCTCTGTCTTCTCCTCTCTCGTAAAGACACTGGTCCTTGGATGTAAGGCGTTGTCAGGGTGATCTCATCTTGAGAGCCTTAAGTAATTAGGTCTGCAAAGACCCTATTTCCAAGTGAGCTCACATTCTGAGGTTGTGGGTGGACATGGATTCTGGTGGCGGGGGACACCATTCAACCTCTTACCAGCCTTGGACATGTGTGAGATGGAGTCTTTGCAAGATTCTGAGCCAAGTTGTGACCTGGGCTGCTATATATTGTGAAGGGGGTCATTCATTTACAGAGGAGGCGAGGCCCTTCTCCTGGTGAGAGCTGGGAACAGAAAGAAACATGCCGCATTTGGGGAGCCACGTGCAGACCTTCTGTCTAAAGTTGGGATGCACCTCTAGGTGGCTAGGGGAGAAAGGGGAAGAAGGCTTTGAACACCACACTCGGTGGCCATAGTGCAGCCCAGCCGAGCTGTTCGACCGACTCAGGTCAAACGCCAGACCTTTGCCCTTGAAGTTCCCCCTCTGGATGTATCAGTATCGCCTGGGAGCTGGGCAAAGAGGCCACCTCTCAAGCCCTGCCCAGACCCCCGAGTCCGACTCTGTTTCCAGCCACCATTTCCTGTCTGTGGCAGATCTTGAGGCAGATCCTGGAGATGTCCTTCATCACCAACAGCCCAGTCCCGCAGATGCAGCTGCATACCATCTTCACGGAGCTGCATGTCTAGGTGAGCCCCAGGGCCGCGCGGGGCGTGGCCTTCCCCAGGGCGGGTCAGGGGAGTCGCGCTGGGGGCGGGTCAGGGGAGGCGGGCTGGGGGCAGGCAAGGGAGGCGCGCTGGGGCCGAGTCGTTTGCTGACCAGCTCAACGGGTGGCAGGGTGGCGGTGGGCCCCGTCCGATGCCCCAGGCCTCCCGCCTCCTGCCGGGGGCGAGGCACAGGTGGGGCTCCTGCCCGTGTGCCCAGTCGTGGGGCTGACCTCTCCACCCCCCTGCCCGGCCCTCCTCAGGTGTGCTCCAGGACCCCTGCCCAGCAGCAATAAAGCAGCCAGAACCTGGCGGAGATCGTGCACCGCTTGGTGAGGCGCCCCGGGAGCCCTCGGGAGTGCTGGTCCCCCTCTGAGCGCCGGGCCCCGGGGCTGCCTTGTCCCGCTGCCGCCCTTGACTCAGGGCACGACTGAAGCTGTCCTTCCCCCTCACCCCTGCAGCCCGCTCCTACCCCAAGGAGCTGATGCAGTTCTTCCTCAGTCAGATGGAGATGAGCAAGGAGGCCGTCCGCGTGGGGAACCTGGCCCTGATCGGGCAGTGGTGAGCGCAGATGGTGAGCACTCACCCCGCAGGGAGGCCGGGCGGGAGCAAGGGTGGCAGGTGGCAGTCATATCTGGCCTTTTTTCCCCTTAACTGTTTGGCCGCACTCGCGGCGGCATGTGGGACCTGAGTGCCCTGACGGGGATCGAAGCCATGCTCCCCGCGATGGAAGCACGGAGTCTTAGCCCCTGGACTGCCGGGGAAGTGCCTGGGCCATTTCCTCTCTGTAGACCCTGCTGGGTGGGCCGCGGAGTCAGGGCTCTCCGTGGCTCCGTTTCCCGTTCTTGAACCTAAGCAGCCTTGTGTCCCACCCTCCACGGCCTCGCCCCTCTCCTTCAGCCCTGATCCCAGCTTCTGCCTGAGCCTGAATTTCAAACCACAAACCCTAGTATAACTCCCAAAGCTAGCCGGAAGGCTGCATATAAAGCCTAGATACAGAGTATAGATGTGCCCTGAAGCCCCGTTGACCCGGTGCCTAAGCTTAGTCTGAAACCCTGCTTCCGAATCCCCTCAGCCCAGACCCCAAGCCTGGCCTAGCGACCCCCAGGGACACGCTGTTCTCCAGAGCGCCGGCGCAGAGAACGTCCGCTTGAATGTGAACGCGGCGCCCTCTGCTGGCCGCGGCTGGTCTTGCATGGCTGGAGAAGCACACGTGCTGAGCTCAGGCGCTGCAGTCCCGCCCATTGTTTCCCAGACCACCGGGCTCCTCTGTCCATGGGATTCTCCAGGCAAGAATACTGGAGTGGGTTGCCATTTCCTCCTCCAGGGGGTCTTCCTGACCCACGGATCAAATCCACATCTCTCCTGTCTCCTGCATTGGCAGGAGCGTTCTTTTCCACTAGCGCCACCCGGGAAGCCCTGAGAAGTGCTTGGTTGGCATCAGTTCAGCCCTTCAGCTACTTATCCTTGTGCAGTACACAGGCTGAGCAACTGTATGTGAGAGACATTCTTCTGACAGTAAACCCATCTTTTACAGAAATGCAAATTTAAGCAACAGAGAAAGTGAAAGTTTATCAGTCCTGTCTCACTCTTTCAGTTCAGTTCTGTTGCTC